ATTCTTGATTATGGATTCTTGAATTCTTCTATCTTGATTTTTGAATTCCTTTATGTAGGTTTTGGATTTTCCTTTTCCATATGCTTTTTTTTAATTATTCTTATGTTGATGGGATGACATAAAGAATAAAAAATTGCATATAAATTGGAGATCATAATCTTATATATAGTTTCCATATGTATTTGGCTCATCGTCAAATACAGTCCTATTGGATTCGATTTCTACACTTTTAATCTGGCCTATACTTTATTTAGATGTTCAAAGCCTAATTACTTAATTCTTTATTAGATCACTTTAATTTTGAGCTTAACTTTAAAATATGTTTTTATATACAACCAATTACATCTGTAGGCTCATATGACAAATTAATAATTTTTCCAACAATAAATTGAATTTATTTTTTATTACAATTTAACAAAAGACCGTGGTATTAAAAAAATAGACTATCTATTTGATATTTGGGCCAATATTTCTCTTTTATTTCATAAAATTGGCCTAAAAATTTGTGGAAATAATGTCTAAACATGTTTTTTAACTTCTCAATTAAAAAATAAGTTGTTTCGTCTTTCAACAACACCGTTCTTGATAAGAGAACCTGGCATGGTGTATTATGGGACAATTCCACATTGCTCTAGGAATTTAGCAAAAGGCCTTGGACGTTGTTCCCCTCATCTGTCATATTTACCATAACATTCACCACCACTATCAGATCTAGCGTGTTTTATTCTTTTGCCAAGTTGTAAATCAACTTCAACCCTATAAGCCTTGAACATTCCATAACGAGAATAATTGTCCACGAACGTAATGAATAACCGCTGATCATTCCAAGAAGCTGAAGGAAATGACCCACATATATCTGTATGAATTAGTTCTACGATGTCCGAAATTTTATTAGCGCCTAATCTTCTTATGTCGGTTTATTTCACCTTAATACAATTTACGCAAACACTTAAGTTTGAAAATTGAGGGGATCAAGAATTCTTTTTGATACAAGCTTTTCAATTCTCTTTCGAGAAATGGGACCTAAATGCTTTTGTCATAGTGAAGTAGAATTCTCATTGGTTCATTTACGTTTAATACCTCGTATATTCACATGAAATGTTCCATTGTAAGAGACGATCGAATTTAGTAAGTATGGGTTATCATATCAAGATAAAGAACCGATACCCACAAGATTTGAATCAAGAAAAAGACTAAGGCCCTATTTGTGGCCCTTTAATTTCAAAAATTGGAGTATGGAATAGTGATTGATGTTGAAATGTGTGGTTAAAAAAAGGAAAAAGTTTTTTATTTATGTGTAATATTATTTTAATGAAGAATGTGTGGTTGAAAAAAAGTACCGTAGAAAAAATAATGTGGTAAAATGTGGGAGAATGGTTGACAAACAAGGGTTAAATGAACAAGAATAAACCTAGTTGTCCAATACAGAATTGGAAACTAAATTTCATTTAAAAGACGATACTACAAAATCTCTTTAAAATCGAAATAAAAATCAATATTTAATTATAATCGAAAAGTTCCTATAGCCTCAACTTCAACTTATTTGCCGTCACCCACATAGATAAATCTTTCAACATCATTTGGCTTTCAACTGTTCAAGTGACCCTGCATAGACACACTTATATGAGTAGTGATATTGAAATCAATCCACTAAGTATGTCTGGGTATTAAAATTAAATTAACCTAAGAACAAACCAAAGTGAGAAACGTGTGTTTTTTCACATGTCAAGGGTAGTATTCGGTACAATTACTGTTCAAGCGTACCGAGATTCCACAAAAGTAACATCCAGATAATTAATCATTTTCATGCTTTTGCTATTTCTATTAAGCTAGGCCGGGTGCAACTTCCTTATTCTTTCTTTTCTTGAACTTATCTTTAGAGGTACTAGCCAATTGAGCACTTTCAGCCTTTCTTCTTCTTACATACGCTATAAAATGAGCTCATTTAGAGTCCAATTCTCCATTTGACAATTGTAACTAACCTTGAATTGATTGTATTTTGTAAGAAGTGGAATCAAAACCCAATGTACCAGCAAATCAACAGATGGCTCAAACTTTGTGCCTTTAGTTTTGAAGCAATATAAGACATCATGTACTTCCAAATATTTTCTCCATTTTATACCTTAGTAAAACTAAATTCCCTAGAATCGTACTAGCTTCGACCTTAATCGCTTTTTTACAAAGCATTTTTCAATTTTATCAAGAAATTATTTTGTGATAGTTACTTTATCGAACACAGCGCCCTTAAATGATTTTGAAATTCCACGCTTCATGATCATAAGACTCATACGTTTTGAATGATCCCGATTATCAAATTCTCCTATTTCATTATCGGAACTTTTAACCGTAAGTGCAGCAAGTTGTTCAGTTCTTAATGCAATGTCCAAATCCCTGTAGCCAAAAACAATCTGAACGTTCTCTTTCCAATCCTTAAAGTTGGTTCCATTTAGCTCAAGAATTGAATTAATGTTGGCGAATATTGTAGAAGCAGATTAGTTAACTAATAGAGAACAAAAACCAAAGAAACATGTTAACATTTTAATTCGTATTAAACAATTAATAAATTCAAATAATGGTAAATCTCATCACAAGATACCAAGCAAAACATTGACATTTAGTCTTTGGACATAAATACCAACTTGAAGTGGTACTCTTGTTATGGTAATCAAATATTGACAATAAATTATATCAAATAATAAACCTATCTTTGGACCAATTTATTGTTCACATAAATTTTTTTTTACAACTGTAACATATTTATTACCACAGGAATGCATGTAATTCAACCAAACACTCACCTTCCTTTGGGACGACAAATATCTGAATAATAACAAACACACAACTTTCCTAATATTCCAAATAAATTAATATAAACAAAAGATGACACTTTTGTAACAGGTTTCTTCAGCTAATAAAGTTTGGAAAAATAGTTATCTTAAAAGAAACTTTAGTACCATAATTTGAATTTTAATTGTTGAAACCTTATTGTTTTATTTATTTATATATATATTTTTGAACTTAAAAAAAAATTAAAATACAGTAAACAGGCACTGCAGCACCCAAAATCTGGGCCTCGAGCCGTGATCTAGGGTTTGAAATTCACATCCCAAATTTTAGAAAACCTAATTATGAATTTCAACCCTAAAATTCTTCCTTAATGTTTTAACATGGATTGAGTTTGATACCTACTGTTGAATTTTATGAAATATAAACTTTACATAATTGCCAAGATCTCTACTTCAAATTACCAAGAAAAATAATTAATATAGAACATTCTTTAATCCATTAATTTGTATCTTGAATTATGATCTTTGAACATTATCTTCTAGATCCTTACTCTTGAATCTTGATTTTGGATTCTTGAATTCTTCTTTCTTGATTCTTGAGTGCCATTATGCGAATTTTGATCTTCCTCTTCAATATGTTTTCTATATTAACTCTTGTGTTGATGGGATGGCACAAAGAATGAAAAATTGCATATGAATTGGGAATCATAATTCTCTATGTATTTTTCATAGGTATTTAAATACAATTTTAATGGATCCAATCCCTGCACATATAATCCGACCATATTTTAATTAGATGCCAAAGTCCAATTACTTATTGATTTATTAGATCACTTTGATTTTGGACTTAACTTTAAGATAGTCTTTATACACAATCAATTATATATGTAGGCCCACATGACAAATTAATAATTTTTCCAACAGTAAATTGGATTTATTATTTATCACAAGTTAACAAAGGACCATGGTATTAAAAAAAGGGTCTATGTATTTGATATTTGTGCAAATATTTTTCTTTTATTTCATAAAATAGGCCAAAAACTTTGTAGAAATAACATCCGCACATGTTTTTTAACTTCTCAATTCAAAAATAAGGTGTTAAAGTTTTTTGTTCAAAAACTAGGTGAGAATTCAACTTTTAATAATAATAAAAATAATTAATTAATTAATTAATTACCCACCACACCTCTACCCATTCCCAAACCTTTAATTATTTCACTGTGGGTCTTTGAAGCTAAAGATGAAGAAGAGGCAGGTGAAGTTGAGGAAGATTACTTAATCATTTTCGAGAGCAAGCTTAGTCATTGCAGAGAGAGCTAGTTATCGCTGAGAAGCAACGCTCGCACCGCTACATATCAATGCTGAACGTCGTTGCATCGACGACCTTGCTTTTGAGCATTGTCGTTGAGCGTGGCAGCCTTGCATCCCACCACACCTCTACCCATTCCCAAACCTTTAATTATTTCACTGTGGGTCTTTGAAGCTAAAGATGAAGAAGAGGCAGGTGAAGTTGAGGAAGATTACTTAATCATTTTCGAGAGCAAGCTTAGTCATTGCAGAGAGAGCTAGTTATCGCTGAGAAGCAACGCTCGCACCGCTACATATCAATGCTGAACGTCGTTGCATCGACGACCTTGCTTTTGAGCATTGTCGTTGAGCGTGGCAGCCTTGCATTTTGAGCAACACTATAGCAGCATCCATCGCGGCTGCGCGCAGTAGCCTTGCATTTTCTAACCCGATGGTTTATTGGTAGTCGTTGAAATTTGTTGGTGGTTTTCTGATTCGATCTGGTCTGCTACTTAGCTAGAGTTTATGGAGTGGTGGTTGGTGTTTTGCAAATCGAGGTGTTGCCGATAATGGTGGTGATGGCGATGGTGTGTGTAGGTGGTGGTGGTGATAGCGGTTGTGGTGAGGTGGCACATGTGTAGGCAACAGATAGTAATGGTGGTGGTGGTAGAGAGGCTTTCGATTGGTGCCAATGGTAGGGGTAGGATGGGATTTCTGGTGATTATGACTAATAAATAATATGTTACCTAAATAATGTGAAAAATTGTGTTTAAATTTGTAATTATGACTCATAATTTAATAAGTTGTGATCAATTAATTTGATAAATTGTGACCTGAAAATAAATTCGGGTAAATTAATTTTAATAATTTGTAATCGTAAAATAAGTTGCTATTTATGATCAAAAAATAATGCGTGACCAATTAATTTAATAGTTTGTGACTAATAAAAAAGTTATGACCTATAAAATTTGTGATTTGTTGCTGTGATATTTTTTATTATGACTAGTAAGTAATTGTTACCATAAATTATATAGTATTGTGACATTAATATATTTAAATAATAAAATATTTTCAATTATATATTTCAACACACACCCGTGATCATTGCTATCATAACCAAGCACCACGATCGATGGCCCCATGAGATTTGGTTTGGAAGCATTATGAGAAGATTTCACTTGTGTTGATACTATGGTGGAGCTTTCATTGTTCGAAAGAACTCTCTTCTGTGTTGATGGGATGATAGAGCTTTCACTAGTTGTGAGGAGCTTTTGCAGAAGCTTTCTTCGTGCAGTGAGTTTTTGACTTGAAATTTGTTTTTGTGGGAGGAGGTTAGGAGTTCTATTGTTGTGGTGTGAGGGGAGGTGAGTGGTTAGGTTAAAGGTGGAGTCTACTGGTGATGGTGATGGTGATATGACTATCTGATCTTGGTGGTGATGGGTGTAACAATGAATATTACAAGTGATTGTGGTAATGGTCATCACGACATTGGTGGTCACGATAGTAGCGTAATAAGGAGTGTTACAAGTCATGGCAACAATAACGAGAAGGTTAGTTTTACATACATAATATAATTTGTTACTATTAGTGACAGTAGTGGTGGTAGAGGAAAAAAATATTACAAGATTTATGCAAAATAATGAAATTAAGAAATAAATAAAAAAAAGTATTTTTTTTAATAAGGAAAGGTTTAAAAGTATATTTGAAATAAGTAATATTTTTTAGTGTATTTATTCCTATAAAATTGTCTTAAAAAATAATCAGTCCACCCTGGAAAGCTAATATTCGACCTATTGTGAGGGGAGGTGAGTGGTTAGGTTAAAGGTGGAGTCTACTGGTGGTGGTGATATGACTATCTGATCTTGGTGGTGATGGGTGTAACAATGAATATTACAAGTGATTGTGGTAATGGTCATCACGACATTGGTGGTCACGATAGTAGCGTAATAAGGAGTGTTACAAGTCATGGCAACAATAACGAGAAGGTTAGTTTTACATACATAATATAATTTGTTACTATTAGTGACAGTAGTGGTGGTAGAGGAAAAAAATATTACAAGATTTATGCAAAATAATGAAATTAAGAAATAAATAAAAAAAAGTATTTTTTTTAATAAGGAAAGGTTTAAAAGTATATTTGAAATAAGTAATATTTTTTAGTGTATTTATTCCTATAAAATTGTCTTAAAAAATAATCAGTCCACCCTGGAAAGCTAATATTCGACCTAATTCTACATTTTAACCTACAATAAAATATACTTCTAGTTGTGGTCCTACTGATCTCATCTGAAAGTTTAAATTATTAAAGAAGAGAATCGAGACATTCTAAAATCCAATTAAGTTACACTGGTCGTGTGGATAATATCTAACTAGAATAAACACATCTAATAGTGCCTAAATATTCTTGATTGAACAACCCGAAAGTTAAATATCTAGTGCATTGCCTTTTTGGACTGTTGCACCTCCAAAAGCAAATTTCTAGAGGTTCGAAAATATCTAACAAATAATTCATCCACTGGTCAATGATTCCTGCATAATTTCAGCATATGGAATCTCTCAAATGATTTCGTGATATTTCTGTTTGTTATAATATTTTCTTTTTCAGCTAGAAGTAAAAAAGACAAACCAAATAATTAATTAAGCTTCGCAAATTCAGAAAGTAAAAATATTATGGTAAGAGAATATATGGAGTATCTGAGATCGGATAAGAAGGGGGTCGTTTTCATCAAAGTGTAAGAAAGCTCCAATTTACTTTCAGGTAGTAGCAACAAATAGAAATTTAAGTGTATTTGCAACCAATGACCTATCAAATATTTGTCTATGTAACCCGTATTTTCTTTATTTTCTTGTCCGTGTTTACAGTATTGAACCACTTACGAGATCAGTACGTCCACTTTTCATTAATTTTGGTTGTCTCTCAATGCAAAATTGTGAAAGAACAAGAACCCATGATAGCTAACTCTTTGATTTTGTAGAATATTTGAATAAGATCGGAAATTGAAAACAAAATTTTAAGACCCGTTTGATTTGTGTCTTGGTTTTCAGCATCTGCGTCCTGCGTGTGCCTTGGCCTTGCGCCTCCTTGGTTTGGTCTAGTTGATCCAAAAATGCTAAAAATTGTCTCTTGCTCTGCATTATCTCCTTATAATCAATTTAATGGATTCCATTACAAATGTTAAGTTGCTAAAGTCTATAATTTACTCATTTAAATTTTAGATGGACGCATAAAAAATATTCGTGATATCATTATATAGCAAACTATGACGTCAGTGGTTATACGAGTGACAGTTGTCTACTTTAAATGGATGCGTACTAGAAAGTTGAAAAGATTTCTATGCATTCATGTTGGTGACTACTGTTTCAAGATAAGATACTGCACCTCATTGATTTGTCACATGTCAAGTGGGCTTTCTCCAGATTCTATAATAACTTCAAGAAGTATGGTCTAATTTTCGTGTTTCATTTGTTTATTTTTATCTATGAGGAGATCTTACTTTTTTTCAGATAAAGAAGTATAGTCTAGTCTCATGTTTCTTTTTTTCTTCTTCCTCTACTTTTTTTTTTTTTTTTTTTTTTTTTTTTTTTTTTTTTTTTTTGTGGGGTTTTTTTTTTTTTTAAAATTTTTTTTCAAGATAAGATACTGCACCTCATTGATTTGTCACATATCAAGTGGGCTTTCTCCAGATTCTACAATAACTTCAAGAAGTATGGTCTAATTTTCGTGTTTCATTTGTTTATTTTTATCTATGAGGAGATCTTACTTTTTGCAGATAAAGAAGTATAGTCTAGTTTCATGTTTCTCTTTTTCTTCTTCCTCAACTTTTTTTTTTTTTGTCTGTGAGGATATCTTACTTTTTCAAATATTATTCTCATCAGATGTGATTGTGGCTTCTTAAAGAATAAAGCCAATAGGTATTTAGGAAAGAATACAGTGCCCACTTTTAGGTTGGACATAGTGATACACCATTTAAATGTAAGAATATGGACTCATTTAATTAGGCCTATAATTTAGTGTCACTTACTAAATGTCATTTAATGATACATACACTAGTATTCTAATACTGTCGATACTAAATATCATTATTCCAATCTAAGATTCGAAATAATATGCCAAGTGAAATTCCTTTGAACGATCAACAATATGTGGGACACTTTTTATCCTCCCCAAGCAATTGTACTTTAGTACGTAAAGGGCGTTTTGGTACACTGTACAATATTAGGACGGATAAAACTAAGGTAATAATCTAGAAGTAGGGTGAATAAGATTACCCAAAATAGAAACATTTTTCAAAGATTTTTTACTGAGTTTTCTGTAAGCTAGCGTCATCCTTGTTGGGATATTTTCAAAGAACCTGGTTATATGTACACTATTATGTACACTTTGCTACGTATCAGTACCATATTGGACAGTTTAAATTTCAAACAATTTTGTCATCTAATTGACAATTGACAACAATGTAAATGTTAACCAAAGTGTCAAAAATCAATTACAAATAGCAAAGTTCATTTTCAAAAGGGAGGCAAAAAGGTTTTTGTTACAACAGTTAGATAATATTTTATATCTTTGAATACATAGTACATTATTGGTTTATTCATTTATTTGAATTTTACATTAAGTTCAATTGAGTATGAAATGAAGGGCCAACGATCGGTTTGGCAATAAAATATGAGTGATTGCATAAAGAAACGTAGATAGATACACCTTATGTTTAAATCGAGATATTTTAGTCACAGACACGTGAATGGAGGTTGGAACTTTGTCTTAATAAGGTCGTAGGATTTTAAGTACTTCACCAATTGGGGTGAAGAGTTTGTCTTGACTGTAGTGAGTAGAATTACAGAATGGTGATTCTACTATACTTGAACATGCAACGAACATGACAATTTTGAAGAGTTTATCTAGAGATCGAACATGCGAACCTTTCAAGACTATCCAAATACTGTACAAGATAATGGATACTTTTGTGAGCTCAAGGAGTTTTAATGGGCCAATAAATGAAATCAATTGATATGATCAACATCTTGGTACATTGAGAGCTTATGGTGAACGAAGTAGTCAACATGTATTTGTGTTAGATTATCGTCGCCTTATTTTATAGGGTCAAAGAATTCGACTGATTTTTCTATTGAGTTGTTTCAGTTTTGAGTTGAATGTTTAATGACGGCTAAATAAAATTTGTGATGGAAAAAAAAAATGTTGTGAAAATGTAGGCTTAAGTAAAAAAAATAACTATAGGTGAAAAGTTTTTATTTTAGCTTGATCCTAATTACCAGACGTTCGAAGCGGTAATGCATAAAGATGGTAAGTCTAAGGATGTAATTTTGGAGACGTAATATTTAGCTTTTAAGTGATTTTATGTAATTTAAGAATGCAGTCTTCCAACTTAATGAAGTGTGTCGAGACTAATAATTACTTTGTATATTTTGGATATTGTCTAATTATTGGTGCTTGAATTGTATAGGTCCCTTTTGGTGTATGCACAAATAAATAAGGTCACAACTGCACAAGTAATTGAAGTTTATGGTTGCACAATTGACCAGGTCAAAATTTATTTGACCAACCGAGTCATAAAAGAAGTTCTTGGTTGATCAGAACTTAAAATTCAACAGTTAAATGAGAGTCCTAATTCGAAGAGAACTGAAAATATTTTGTTATACCCACCCTAAATCTTAAACCTAGTGTATAGAAGTCAAATTACAACATTTACACCTCAAACATATAAATCCTAAAACATTTCAATAAGAAAAATCAATTCGGCTATGCATACAGAAGCCGTTTCACAGATAGTCTTCAGATGACGTGTCGACTCCATTTTCAATTCAAACAAATGAAATAAGAATAAACAAATATGAACAAATAAATAGTAGAATAATGGGCACATTTTGAAACAACTCACGTGAGTTTGACTGAAAACAAAACAAACCCCATAAAGGCTCCACTTTCTCATATTTGTTGGTTCCTCCCATCTCTCCCGGTGATCTGAAATACTAGATTTACTGTTGTTCTTGCCGGCGATGTCGTCCTAAAATCTGGCTACAGTCAATCCGTTAGACAACATCTTTACCTTTGTCATATTATCGAGCGCCCACAGTGCAAAAAAGTTGCCAATTTTGCCCTCCCCTGTCGTCTTCTCCGGTTATCGTCAATGGCTTTAGACTAGAAATACTAGCATCTATGTAGCGTTTCGAGAATGTTAGATTTTTGGGATTTTGAACAAAATATTTATGGGTTTTTTTGCACCTATTGTACATGGTTTGAAACTACAAGATTTTCGGCTTTTTCAATAAACAATTCTGCTATGTTTCTTGCGTTGTGCAGTTCTAAAATTGGATAATTTACGAGCTTGTTGAGAAGCTGTGAAAAGGATGTGATGTTTATGTATTTGTGTATGTAGCAGTGAATGGGACAATTCTGCTATTTTTGCATCTAGAACAATCTGAACAAATGTGATGTATATGTATTTGTTACTCCTCATAAAAGGATTCAAATATAACGCTTTGAATTGGCACAAATATGAATAAGACCCATTAG